GATTCTAACTCGTACTTTATATTACTATTTATTTTACAATCTACACTGTATTTTTTTGTAAATTCTATTTTGTAAAAGCTCGACTTTAAATAAATTAAAGTATTTTCAATATTCTTCAATGTATTTATCGAATTTCTTGCTTAAAATTAGAATATTCTATTTTCGAAAAAGTAGATATTCAATGTCGTTTTTGTATAGGCATTTCTCGAATATTCGACATGATTTCATATACAAACAAAAACAGAAAAAAGTTTTCTTCAAAAATAGAGACGATTATAGCAAAAGACTGATCTCAAATGAATTTGACATGAGATCATTCTTTCTTATGTCAACAGTTTGAAAACCGAAAAAAAGGAGCATTTTTAAAAAGCACTTATTGATACCAGAAGTGTTTTTCTTCAGAAGAAAATTTGGCAACTCTGCGTCTATGTTATTAATAAATAATATGTACTGTTATAGATAATCAACAATACAAAGCAATAGGTATTTAAATTTCTACTATAATAGAAATTTATACACTTCGATAAATAATATAAGTTTTATATTAGAATTTCAGATTGTTTTATAATCAAAAATAATATTTTATTTTGTACTATTAGGTGCAATTTAAAATTACGTATTATTTGAATTTTTCCAAGATGAAAATAAAACTTCAATATTTACTGTAACATACATGATTATATGTAAAAACGGTTTTTTTATTTGTGTGTATTATAAAATTTGATAGAATTTTAATAAATATTTCGATCTACGTCGTATTGTATTTTGATTTATGTGCCATTGATTAGACTTCTAACATATTAGTTGCTAAAATATATTCAACACTAACTAAATAATTACTTATTAGAATAATTACGCAGGAATTATTATCAAAAATATCAATTGATAATCAAATTGTTTAGTTTAAAAATTGAATTATAAAGATGGAATTTTCAATTGAATCTACTTAGATATAGCAAAACGCATAAAGTCATTGATTATTTTATCTATTCATAAGATGAAAATTTCATTTTATCAAGTTAGAATTAAATCATTTTATTTTCATAAATAGTGTCACTGTTATGGTAACATTCATTTATAAGAAAAAAGAAAATACACAAAAAGATATTTTTTTTATTTTTGAGAATTCTTCTTTAAAAAATCTGAAGTAAAAATGACCTTGCTTTTTGTTATGAAAAGACTGTCGTAATGCTTTTACGAAAAGTCAAATCTATTTTATTTACATATATCAACAAAAAAAACTGCATCCTTAAGAGGACTCATTTGAACAAATAGAATACATATAAACATCTTGGAAAATGCCAGACAAACGCCTTTATGCTAATGATTAACGTAAATGTTTAATGAAGAGACGACGAAACAAAATACTCATTAATATCTTTCATCAGTTCTGACTTACTTATTCGGTTCAAATAGTAGAATAATATGAAGTATCAAGAAGACTGATTAGAATACTTTTCAGTAAGATTCAAATATTCTCATATAGTACGGAACAATAAACTTATGGAATTTATTCAATATCTTTATAATTCTAGTACAAAAACAGCAGCATCCAAAACAGAATTTTTCTATATCAAAATTTGACAAAAGTACCCAAAGATATTTTCATACAAAACACAAGAATTATTCAATATAAAATAAAAGAATAATATTTATATTCTTTGTTTACTTTCTTAGCTAATTATTTGCGAGCTACAATCTTATTAGATAGTTTATCTATTTGTTTGCTTTATCTGTACTCATAGAAAACATTTTTTGTGTACTATACACAAAAATAAAGTTCAAAATAAAACTATATTCAACTACTTAAGAGGACTTGCTTACATAAGTTATAATATTCAAATGTTGAGCTGTTATTAAAGAGACAAATTTTGGTTTGGAACTAGAGCTTTATTTCAACTCTATTGAACAAATCGAATTTATTAGAAATTCGTTGTCCACTAGAAAATGTATAAATTATAGTTATCTCAGAGACAGTATCTCCTATTTTCCGTTCATAGGAAAATAATCCAATGGATTTTGCTAAATCATTATAAGTTAGGTTAGAAGTTGATGAGTTTCCGTGAACTTTCAATAGAATTTATTCGAATCGGATAGTACAGAGAAGATTTCTTAAAAATGCTGATCTAGATTCATTAAGATTATTACTAACATCATAAACCTTATTAACTGTTTCGACTACGTGCTGACACTACTGATGTTCATAGTAAAAAAAATATGAAACCAGAAGGAAAAGAAGAAAGATATCATCGAATGGAAGGGAGTGAGAAGAAGTACATAAGGTCAAAATTAGATATCTCTTCTAGTCTAACAAGTTTAGGACATCTGCTCGGATAGCAGTTAATATGCAGTTCGAATTTCATGAAGAATCATCTTTTTCTTCATTTTGTGATCATTTCAACTCATTGCGTAGTCTTATATGATTTATCAGAAGTAAGAGTATGAGTAACGAAGACAAGAAATCATTTTTTGTTACTTACCCGAGAAGCGTTGTCTTAGTCTTAAGTAAATTAAATGTTTATTTATCTTTCGATCCAATTCAACTTTTGTAACCCAAAAAGAAACACCTGGTGTAATAAGTTCTTCTTCTTCTTCAGGATATTCAGATACATCAGCAAGATCCGCAGTAAAAGCAACAACAATTTCCATAATAAATAAAGCATTTCCAAAATTTTCTGCTTTTTTACGATTACGACTACATGATGTAAATGCTTGAAATGAACCATAATTGTAGGAGTTTTTGCTCATTAATTTATATTTAGCAATTTGTTCACCATTGAGATATGCTCCTCGATATAGTGTTTTCTTTATTTTTGCTTTTTTATTAAATGGATCATCCCATAGTAATAAACAAAATGGTCCCAATGTACGAATTTTACTTCTCCATACATGCTCATGATCTTTATCTCCAATCAGTCTCATTGTTGCATTTAAAGTTTTATAAAGAAAACTTTCTAATGAATATATATAAGCGCAGCATTGCCATACTTGTTCGATTCCGTTATCTTTTTGTTCTCGAAGCATATTTGCCAATTCTTTAGCTTGTTGTTCTTTTCCAATATGTTTACCTTCTTTAATAATACCTTCAGCAGCCTTTTCAACCAGGATTGGAATTAAATCTGGTTTTTTTGATGGTAATTCTTCTGGTTCAAGTTCTAGATCTCTTCTGGCTTCAATAACAAATGGTGATACCCAACCGTATTCACCACCATAGGAACGTCCTATAGTAATAGGAAGATCTACAAAACGTTCTTCTCGTAAATGTTTATCTTCTCTATTACGAACTATTCGTTTTATAGGTCTTTGCTTATCATTATCTGTATTTGATATTTGTCTATTTGCTTTGAAATCAATATAATAATCATCCAAAATTGCTCGTTCTTGTCCATTTGTATATGCACGTTCAATAATTAAATTTTCTACATCAGAGTAATGACTCCATTCTGCTGGCTCAATTGATGCCAATGGATCTGTATTCGATTGCCACATCCATTCAACACATTTTAAAGAATTTTTTGATTTTGTGTTTGTAGAAGTAGCCATAATGAAATTATTTGTTTGTCTTTTGGTTTAAGTCAACAAATATTTTATTATCTTAAAATTTAAGACAACAAATATTAATGGATGGAGAATGCATAACTTCTACTTTGAAGTCTAGCTAAATGAAGGGTGTGGGTATGGTTGAAGGCAGTGCTTCCACCTACACCCTATTCGCGTGTGGGCGTGAGTGTTCTGATCATGCACACACTCACACTCAAAAAGACGTCATGTCCAACTGCAGAATGATATCGCTAGACTCATGATCTATAACAGGAAGTTCCTTCAGAAACCTCAGTAGTAAATTCTAGGACATATTTAGTGGATGCATTCTAAAGTAAGCACACTGTATAGAATTATCCCGCAGGATTTCCACTTGTTTCGCAGAGTAGCCAAAAGTTGACTTGGAAATATTCAGGACTCGATGTACTAAGAATATCTCTCTATGCCAGGATTGCGGATAAGAAGGACATTCTTCTGTACTATATACAGAACATAAGCTTGAAAGGGTACTGTCTACAAATATCAAAAAAGTTTCCATTAACATTTGGTGTAAGGTAGACAGTTTTGGCAGTTTCCAACAGAAACTAGTGTTCATCATATATTCACCGTTTTGTTTCGCTGAAGTCAATATACATATAGAAATGAATTCTAGTGTAATGTTTTAGTCTAATTATATTTCTGCAGCGACATAACTAGAACCGACGAAGATCCTAGTTCTCGAAACAAGTCATAAGGACGTATTTTTCAGACTAAAATGAATACAATAAAAAATCAAGATCGTTATGAGTCTCTCGGATTGTTGTGCTGACCCTGATAAGACTTGCGGTTTAATATTTGGTGGCAATTTTCGATACAAAGGTCCTGTGAAATTTGGTGATTTTCGAAGGTCAAATGTCGGTCATTTCTGGTAGGAACTGGGAATGCGATCTGACAGGAACTTATTAAATCCATTTCTGACATTTTTCGGTTACAAAGATTCAGGATCTGGGTGTGTGTGGGTGTGGGTAGGTGTGGATGCGGAGCGTGGTTATTTTTCTTTTAGTTCTACATCCACACCCACACCCGCACTCATACCCACACACTCAAGATAGTTCCTAAAGTTCTATTGATCGGTACGCTTAGATTCTCAAGGGAGTGTTGAGAAAGTACCTTTCGGCCCTCGAGGCCTGCAATAGAAAAGCATCCTCCAGTACTCAAGTCTTGCTCTAGACGGGTGCCCTAGGGTCCTCAAATCACACTATAGAGAGCCGCTCTTAGGTCATGAAGTCATATTATAGAGGGTGCCTTCGGATTCTGAAGTCCTACCATAGTGAAATACCTTGAACTGTAAAATACTATTGCGCATCAGCCTAGGGCTCTCAATTGGTACCATTCAATTTTCTAAGATGATAAATTTATATTAAATGGAAAGGCAAAATGCTGACTGCTCGGTTACAATTGCACAGAACTGCTGTAGAAGTATAAAGATACCATATTGCACATATGTTGACAGAATAGTAGAAGCGGCTCAATAATTTGCACTTTTTGTGACTTTTCGCTAGACATGAGCATTGTGAGCTTGTACTGAGTAAGTGTGTCTAACCTATGATGGGTGTTGTCACATTACTGATAGTATCGGAGCGCACTTCCTTTGACAGCCCAGTTCGGGTTAGGGGGTTGACTTTCAGACCTAAACAGAGGGTTTTATCTACGGTGATCGCAGTGATGGAAGTGAAATCTTATAAAAATGTTAGATTGCGAATGTGACTTTCTGGTCCAACACTTTCAATTAGCTTGTATTCCAATATACTTTTCAGCATCTCACCCAACAATCCTATGAATTTTCGCCCTTTGAAGGCTCAGCAAAACTTCTAAGCGCCGCTTCCTGCTTGTTGACACAATTTCGTAAAACCGAAACACAATAGTGCGCTCGTGAGACGTCATATATAGACACTACCACAAGACTACTGTTTCTAGTGAACCAGCTAAATTCTTCAACCTACAGAAAACTTAGTTGATTTCTAAATGCATCTATTCCTATCATAGAAAAACTTGTGTTCACCAATTTCTTTAACAGTGTGAGTGTGAGTATGTTTTAGAAACACTTCCGCACACCTATCGCCATAATATAGTTCACTTTTATTATTTTTGCAGATTCTCAAACTTTGGATCAATTACTTTTACTACTTGAGAATGATTGTTATGAAGTCTGTAACTCTTTCGCTTTTGCATGATATCTAACCCTTCTTACCAGCTTACTAAAAATGACCCCAAACATGATCTAGGAAACCGAACCTGAACGTTCGGGTCCGATGCAAGTCAAATTCAGACACAAACTCTATTAGATTGGATGGGGTTTTATCAGGAATGGTGCTGTGTTTCATCATGATTCAATGTGGTCCAATCGAATCTACACTTCGAATTGAATCTCGTCACTTGTTTAAACCACTGAAATCATCATCAACCATTCTT